TGAGTTTTGATTTAAAAATTGGGATATCCAGAAACAATTGCAAAAACACGTTTATCTACCTTTACATTCCCTGTTTGGCAGCATAAATGAACTTTGCCAGAACAACTCCTTGGCAAAAATAATTGAATGATCTTTTTATTCTATTGTAAAATTATTACTGTATTACAATACAGTTACCGAACTGAACAGTGTATTCCACTCGTTCCTAAGTCTTTATGATGGCTTAGAGTAAACAAATCCTTTATTATATCCTGGATGCTGATTTTCATTTGTTTTAGCATTACCTCTTTGGTATCTGTCTGTGTTTATTATTAGACAGACATGTTATAACAATTTCTGCAGCATATGTCTATTTTTTTTAGGTAAAAGATTAACTGTTTCACACACAAAACCTCGAAAACTAACAGCATTTCCTTTTAAGTTTAATTGGGTGAAATGAAGAGAAAATTTATTTTTCTTTTTATTAATTTATTTATAACATTTTTTAAGCATCCCATCTCCATCACGGAATCACAGAATCAAGCTTCTTAAGCGTGCAGACTGTTATTCGAAGAGAGTATTTCACAGTGGAACTCTGGCTGTTGTAAGTAGCCTTGCCACTAGAGAAAAATTCATTAGAGCGCATTTGGTTTTCATTGCATAGGTTGAAAACTGGTAGTGAGAAAAGCCATAGTGTTGTTCACCCTGAGCAGCAACTTGTTATTTTTTCCATATTGTAGCCCCACAGTGAGACAGGCGACAAAATAAATAAATGAATAACAGAAACTTCTTACTGACCCTACTTAAAGATCAAAATTTGCTAGTTGCCATGGCATTTACTTGTGCTGCAGAAAAATAGTTTTCTCCGTATAGAAATTATCTTCAGTATATATACTCTGCACTTTGAACAACTTTATGATGCTAGCTAGGCATTTGCTAAAAATAAAGAGGATGAAAGAATGGTGAGGGCAAAAAGAGAGAGAAACACAAATATACCTCACTTTAATTAATGCTATCCTGCCACATACAAGCTGCAGCATAAAAGATGTGACTTTTTAATGCCCCACTGAGATTTTTGGGTGTACGTTTTCAGGATTCCCAAGTATGAAGTGGAGATACCATTTTCTGCACAACTTTGGTTGAAACATCTCTACTGAAAAAAATCATCTTAGTTTGATGGTATGCCAATCATTTTGGCTTTCCAAGTCTCCTGCTTGTAAATCATTTGTGCTTGAGTTGTATTGTGATCATTAGAAAGTGGTTACAGTTTTCCTTTAATAATTGCATCTCTCTATATCTCTGCCTATATCCTGTGCTTATTTTTATTTTTTTTGCCTTTATTCAGTAAGACCTATTCCGAAAATAAGCCCTGCTTGATTTTTGGAGGTGGACTTAATCTAAGCCCTATACCCAAAATAAGCCCTAGTTTTGGGGCGAGGCACACACCTAAAAATCAAGCTAGAGCGGCGGGGTGTGTGGAGCTGCCCCATGTGCCCCCCCTCCACATTTACCTTGCAGCCAGGCCTCTCCCACTTCTTCTGCGGAGTCCCCAGCCCTGCATTTCGCAGTCAGAGGTCTTTCTGGAAGGCACTGCAGTTGATAACTGAGCTATGCATTTAATCATTCATTCAATCCATAGCTCGGTTTTCGGCTGTAGTGGTCTTCCGGAAAGGCCTTTGACTGCAAAATGCAGGCCGGAGCTCCATTCTCAGCTGCAGACTGAAGCTGGTCCTTCGGGTGCAGAAGAAGAGGGCTGGCTGGGCGGGGCTGTCCGTGCTAGAGGTGAGTGGAACCCCCCCCAAATAAGACCTGGTGCCTCTTTTGGAGGAAAAAAATAAATAAAAATAAGACAGGGTCTTATTTTGGGGAAAACATGGTACCCCTTAAGTGTGCTGCAGCTGCCAAAAAAGCCAACACAGTGCTAGGCTGCATTAACAGAGGGATAGAATCAAGATCTAGGCATTGTGAAGTGTTAATACCACTTTACAATGCCTTGGTAAGGCCACACTTGGAATACTGCATCCAGTTTTGGTCACCAGGATGTAAAAAAGATGTTGAGACTCTAGAAAGAGTGCAGAGAAGAGCAACAAAGATGATTAGGGGACTGGAGGCTAAAACATATAAGGAACGGTTGCTGGAATTGGGCATGTCTAGTTTAACAAAGAGAAGGACGAGGGGGGACATGATAGCAGTGTTCCAATATCTCAGGGGCTGCCACAAAGAAGAGGGAGTCAAGCTATTTTCCAAAGCGCCTGAAGGCAGGACAAGGAGCAACGGGTGGAAGCTAACCAAAGAGAGAAGCAACCTAGAACTAAGGAGAAACTTCCTGACAGTTAGAACAATTA